TCGTAAATAAATTCGGAAAGTTTAATTAAAATTCGACAATTACTTGATTTCTGCAAGAATTTCAAGATCAATCTTTCACTGCAAAAAATTTACTGTTATTTCATAGTCCATCAACTGACGCAAAAAAAAAAAAAACAAGATCAAAATTTCGAATGTTCTAAAAGGATGAAAAAAATACTAACATCATCAAAAAACACTTTGGTTTTTCCACTTAATAATAACGTCAAGATTTTGACGATAAAACTTAGTTTTCGTGAAATTTGGGTCACTTTTCAACATAGTATGCCATTTTTCGGCCAATTCGTGAATATCCCTACACTTATATGCCTATTATGTATGCTTTAAGTATCTTTCTTTACAATTGTATATATATGTTTATCACTCTTTAATAACTGGAGTGTAGATTCATTATATATAATTCATATATATCAATTTCTTTGATCGAATATTATTTTTGTAGAGTAATTCGCAAATCATTTATTTTGTATATACGTAAAGTTAGAGTGCATGATAATTTTTCTAGTTTGAGAATAAAATAAATATTTTGATTATGAAAATTTCCAACTGACTGAGACTGAATTAAATTAAATTATGTGTGCACTTGCTTGCTATAAACTAAAATCTTTTCTTTTGTTATCATTATCTGTTTTTGCGTGAAATCGAAGGAAATCTCATCTGACTTTGAATGACCCGGTTTGAAAAATGTATAAAGTCACTTAATTTTTTTTTTTTTGCCTGTTCATAAATGTGTAAGAAAAGAAAATCCTTGCTTGTACGGACAAGTGACCAAATAACAAATTAGTTGACAGGATGAAAAAAACATTGAAAATAGATCTTTTATACCACAATTTGTCGAAAGAAATTTAAAAAGCATCTTAATGAAACTGATAGCGGCTTCAATTAATGTCATTAAAGTAAAAAAAAACACTTAAAGTGCACAGATTGTCAAACTGGATTAGTATAAATAATTAATGCTTCTGTTTAAAGTGCATCTTCGCATGTAATAATGACCAGTAATGTAAATAGTTTTGTTTTACATACATCTTTTAGTTTACAGAATTTAAAGAGCTGTTAATCAACGATATAAAAGAAAATTATGTAAATATCTCATTTAATACAATTTATTCATTTAAAATACACTATTTAGTAAACTTTGCCTAAAGCTAACCTAATTTTTTTCTTACGTAGTTTAACAGTTTAAACATTTAAAAAAAAAATTAAGATATCAATCTGAAATAAATTTTGTAAATATCTTGGGGATGCTTTAATTTATGAAAAAAACGAATTCACTTGAAAGACAAGAAATTTAGGCATTACCTAATCAAACGAATATTTCATTAGAAACAAATTTTCATTTATTTTAAAAAGGTTAGATTTATCACTTTTTTCGATTGTCTCTCATTATACGAGATATCGCCAAAATTGACGTTTTTCTTTTTAATAATTTTCTTTAACTGACTACTGTTCCCTTTCAGAAGAGTAACTATATTAATATAATATGAATTAAATATCGCTAGTTGTTATTCAGTTTGTTTTATATTTTCCAAATCATTAATACGAGTGTATTTTTCCGTCTGTTTTCCTCTAAAGTTTAGTAAATATTGATTATTTTTTTTGAAAATCGGGCGCTAGACTTTTCAACTTTTGTTTGTTCAATTTCCTCGTCGGTTGTATCCATTGTCTACTGCGAAAAGACAACTATTTGGGACTTGTTAGTGAAGGTGCTCCTGTCTAAGAAGTCGCAGTTATGGAATATTTGACCAATGAAGTTCTCGAGTTGGCAGTTAATGTTGCCAGAGTCAAGAAATCGAGAATCAATCCCATCACTTGCAGTTAGCTACCCGGAATGACAAGGAATTGAAGAGACCGAAGTTACTATCGCCTAGGATGATGTCCTCCCCATCATTCAGGCTGTCTTTCTGCCCAACAAATCTTCAAAGTCTGTTTGAAATCGACCTTTTTAAGATCTACTAACATATTAACGAATGCCTTTTTTACTGAATAAATTTTTTAAAATGTTCTTCTGGTTCTTGTAAGTCTTTTGGTATTTTAGCAATTTCTTGAGAGATTGATTTAAAATCTACGCAAAATTTTGCCATGAAACGAGGAAAACTTTTTAAATTTTTTCTACTTTTGCTTAGTAAAGGCGTGTTCACAGCAGAGAAAGAGATTTTCATCTTATTGTTACAACTAGATTGAAATTTCGGAGTATGAAGCTGTTATTTGTCTATATTTCTGAGATCAGCTATTATGTACACGATTTATTATTCGGACTGTTGTCATCATCTTTGTTGCCATATTTATTACAGCGTTTGGGACAGATTGGGCGGCAACCAGTCTAGCTCATAAAGAAATGTCAAACAACTGCTGGAAAATCTTCTGTTTAATCAGTTATGAACCAAAAGAGACATGATCGGCCAAATATGTATCACGTGAACTGGGGAGAGATAACTGTTTCATAATAGAACAAGGCCAAGATACATGGCAAAGTTGTATATTCTACAATTTCTTCTTTTTGTGCATCTTCTGCCACAAAATTCATCTTTATGCAAGATAATTATGCTTGTCATACTGCAAAAATGATGAAACGTTTGAAGCTGAAAACATGGAGGTTATGTCATGATCTTCCAAAAGATTAGATCTCGGGTAGGCCCTTGGTTGATCTTGATTTTTTTATTTTCTATCATCCACTTTAAGGTAAATCATTTCTGGGTCTCTACTCGCTCATATCGCAGCCCAGGAAAATGTTGTCGTCTACCTTTATCTTTGTCATATGTTGATGCACATTTTCGCTTCTCATGTCATTTCTTTCCGTATGGATGATATATCCTATTGTTGGCGGGACGAGGATGGACCATTGTGTTCAGGGGTGGTATAGGCTGTTTTCACTTCCATAACATTTGACCTGATTTTTATTCATACATTTCCCTGCATGTTTTCCGTTTCTTTGTGCATAATACTATCTACAAAACATGTCTCAGTAGGGTTTTATTCCCTTCTGGTTGCTGCTTGACAATTTCAGTATGTCAGGTCATCTCAATCGCTTTTTCCGACTATTCTTGAGTAATTTTGGGGAATAAAATTTTAAATTGCATATTTCTTGAGCTTTGATTCTGAATTAAATAATAGACACTCAAAAATATAAAGATTTTTCCTGTATGAATCTGAATCTCATAACATTTCATTCGTTGGCATTGGGCGATTTAAAGATTGCTAATAGTTTACATGGTACAATCATAAGTATCTGATTATGTAAAATATCCAATAAAAATAATTGATTTATATTCCCTTGTGAGTATTTCTTTATTAAGGCGAATTAGTTGTCTCCCTTACCTTATTTTGCTGTCTCTTCTGTTTATATGGACTGCTATCTTTCTTTGAGTTTTGTATTCTGAATGAAAATCTGTGTATCTTGAGAACTAATTAAATAATCTCACATGGCATTTCATAGCTCTCAAAAAGTTCAACTGCAGCTGTCAAAATTCCCTTTCATTTATTTTATATTTTGTAATTTTTTGTAATGAAGATATTTCATAATAGTACCTTTTCATAAAATAATAAAAATTGTTACTTTGTCTTACAGATGTAAATTAATTAATATTTGTCTTGTTCAATTGAATTTGATAGCAAAAGATTATTTTCTTCCTTTCTGAAATAATATGGATATATCAACACTTTAAAAACTGACATAACAAAAATTATCAGAATTAAAAGAATTTTCAGTAAGTGTTTTATTTAATCAATCAATTATATACTGAATATGTTATTTTATTAGAAAACCTTGTGGAAATATTTGGGATGAGGGTCAGTTTCACCTCGAAGCTTTTGGTACCTCGTATACTTCAAAAATGTTATGTGGATTTTTATAAACCTATAATTAATATTGAATTTTTATTATAAAATGCTAACGGAATTTACGGTGGTCATTTATGGATTTAATATCTCTGTCATTTAGGGAAACTATATCTTTAAATACGACAAGGAACCTAGAACCATAAGGTATTTATAACTTGATAAAAAATACAATAACTTTAATAATTCAAAATCTGTTTTTCCTCTCGGTATCTGTTCAATTGAAAAGATCCGAACATATGTTTCTGTTGGAAATTCTTGCAAAAATCAAATTGTCGGATTTTAATGAAATTTTCATATATGAATTAAATAATTTTCAAATATTTCTTTTTTAGAAAATCTAGTTAAAAATATTTTTCACATCTGTTTTCCCCATTAATTTCGAGAAATTCATTTTTTCACAGTTTAATATTATTTTTCATAAGCAGAAGCTTTTAGAGAATTTAAGTAATCAATGTTTTTTGTTTTTTTCTTAAGATCGGGACACTCAGTTGCCAAAAAGCTGTTCAGAATTGTAAAATAAAAAAAAAAATGTAATAAAACTAGGACGTTATTTAATTAGAAAAGGTTTTAATTGCGCTTAGGAATAAGATGAGAAATTTTTTCGATGAATAACAAATTTTTAAAGGAACTGTTTTCAATTTTGAAAAATTTAATTCGATGGGTAATTGTAGATGGGGCGGGGGTACACTTTCCCTTTATTTTACCGACTTTGTCTTGTCCTGACATTGTGACTGAATGTTCTCAAAAGCGGCTCAAGGCTCCCAGTCGTTCCCGATTAATAAAAACTGGGGGTTGTTGTATTTTCTCGGCCTTTTGTAGTGTCTATTCCAGACTCGTTCTTGACCTATACTTGACGCGACCCTGTTTAGGGAGGAGGTATCCATCTGCGGGTTGGACTATCTCCGAAGATTCCCCCGGAATCGTTGAAGCAGACGGCCAGGAGGCAGGAGGTTCCGAACAGTCGAAGAAGACGGCCTGGAGGTAGGAGGTTTCTAACCTTGGGTTAGAATATCTCCGACTGTTCACCCGAACAGTCGAAGTAGACGGCCTGGAGGCACCCCCCTTCGTGGAGTACCAGTGACGTCTTCCCCGTGTTCGAGGGTGGGCGCCATGGCGGAGCCCCGCCCGGAGTACCCTGCCCCACCCTAGCCAGCAGTTTCAGCTCCAGATGCTGTGGCATCTGAGCCCTTGCCTCCCAAAGAGGCAACTTGCGACCACCAGCTGCCTCCCCAAGAGGCAACCACCGACCAAGAGCCGCCTCCCAAAGAGGCATCCAGTGATCCCCAGCCGCCTACCAAGGAGGCAGCCTGCGAATCCCAGCCGCCTCCCAAGGAGGCATCTAGCACGGGCCAGCTGCCACCCCAAGAGGCAGTGAAAGAGACTGTGGCCGAGGCACTACCCTCCAAATGGAAATCCCCGCCTATTCCAGGCTTTAACCTCCAAGAATTTCTTGCGAGGGCAGATGGGTACACCCATCTCCTGAAGAAGGGCGGGTTGACCCTTCATCCGGAGGATGTGGAACGGTTTGCCAAGAGGACAATGTCAATCTTCGTGGTTGACAAAACTACCCGGAGGATTTGTCGATTCACAAAGGACATTGTGTTTAAGTCCTTGACGTCTCTGGGGTTTGCGCATCAGCAGATCGTTCGGGGAACGAAAGCTTTTATGTGGGACGTGCTGCTGCCCTCGTCAGAAGATTGCATCGCAATGATTGATAGGGACCTCATAACGAAGGATCTTATCCTTCGTACAGAGTACAGGGGCATGAGACGGACCAGAGTGTCTGTCCACGAGGTTCCCGCCCAAGTAAAAGGAGAGGCGCTGGCTGCTTATTTTAAGCAGTTTGGAGAAATCCTCAGTGTCTCCTCGGATGTCAGGCTCGGTTCATGGAGCTTCGACATTATGCTGGGAGAACAGGCCTTTGGCGACATTCCCAGCATGTTGGACGTCGATAAAAGAATGCTGCCCGTCATTGTAACGGGCAGGAGACTGACATGCTGGAAACGTGGCAAACCTGGCCATATGGCCTCTGCTTGCGCAGGGGTTCTCGCCCCAGACAGACAGCCGGACCCCAAGAAGATCGTACCTGGGACGTCTCTATTGCCCAAACCTAAGGCCTCTGTACCCGCCGCCCCCTTAACCGCCGCGGAGGAAGGGGATTGGAAGGTTGTTGGTAAGGGGAAGAGGAAAGCGAGGGCGGCGGCGCGTCTGAACATGCAGCAGAGTGGCGACGTCTCCGCGTCCGACGGCAGTGGGGGTGATGCCTCGGCCCCAGCTCCCAGGACGGATCATTCGCCGTCCACTAAGATCCAGCGGGTCAAGGAGGTGATGGCTGACTTGGAGAAGCAGCTGGCCCAACCAGAGCCGACACCACGACCAACACCGAGAAAATCAACACCACGACCAACACCGAGACAATTGACACCACCACCAACACAGAGACCTACAACAACACCACCACCAACACCGAGACCTACAACACCAACACCGAGACCAACAACACTAAGACCACCATCACCATCACCAAAGACTGTTAGCCCCCCATCCTCTGCCCCGCCTTCCCCGACCAAAGCAAAGACTCTGCCACCGCCTCCAAGAGCCCACTCGTCATCCCCCCCCAAAGGAGGGCCACAACCCCGGTGCACAAGGGGGAGACCCCCCAAAAAAGACTTTGCTACACCGGGGAAGAGACTGAGAAGCCCCTCGGAGGATGTCGACGGAAAGAGGCGGAAGGCAAAGCTCTTTTACAACACGGGGAAGAACGTCTGCCGTGTGACCGCCGAGAGCGCAGAGAAAGCCAAAGACTTTGGCAGGAGGACAAGTGATCTGAAGGTCCTCCTGGCCATGAAGAAATGCGGTGAGGATGAACTGGAGGATCGAGTGAACTTTCCTCATGCCAAAATGGTCCTCACCGTAGTTCGAAACGGTACGGGATCACGACAGGCGTGGGGCATGATAGAGGAGGCAAAAAAAGCTTTCCAGGACTCCACACCCATCGTCATTACAGACAATGAGGACCTTTCCAGACTGAAACATTTCTGTACTGGAAGGACCCCGGTTTTGGTCCACCCATCCTTCTATAGGGCCTTAAAATTAACCTTTCCCTGGGATGTCGGTGCTATATCCCAAGACGTGTCCATCAAAACTGAGATGGGCTCCGGATCGATGGGAGAAGCAGTCGGCATCCCCACCCAGACTATGTTTCGGGGCGAGGCTCAACCCTAAGGTAAGTGTCTTTCATGGCTCTTTGGTTAGCAACTTTGAATGGCCGAGGCCTGAGGTCGGAGTCTCGTAGGGCGACACTCTCACGCGAGCTTCAGCGCCTCGGCGTGAATGTGTGTTGTGTGCAAGAAACCCATCTTATTGCCAGCGACTATGAAGATGTGCTGTCGAAGAGGTTCCACCTCTACTCGGCATATTTTGATAACCGCTCCAGAGGGATCTCTTGGCTAGTCAGCAGGGCCTTGACGGCGACGTGTAACCCTGTGTACGCTGACCCGGAGGGCAGGCTTTGCCTCCTGGATGCCACCATAAAGGGGAAGTCTCTTCGCTTCATCGGGGTTTATGCGCCCAACGACGAGGCGGAGCGGGCTGCCTTTTTTCGGCGGGTCGAGCCGTTTTTGATGACGTCTCGCCGGGTAGTTTTAGCGGGTGATTGGAACGCCGTCCTTGATCCCGGATTAGATCGTAGCGGGCCTAGATCGGGTAATAACAACCCGGCTGTTAAACCATTTCGCGAATTTATCGACAGATTTGACTTAGTCGATAAGTTCAGAAATGAACATCCTAGCGAGGCAGCATGGACTTGGACCAATAGGGGCGGCCCGGATACGGTAGTTCGTTCGAGCTATATCGACCGGGTTTTAGTAAGGAGAGTCGACGTAGGGCTCTTAGGGTGTCCAAGTTTTCATTCGATAGTTTTCTCGGACCACCGGCTTGTCCGGGTACGAGTAAACTTAGATAAACCTAAGCCTAGATTGAATGGTTACTGGAAGTTTAACACGTCTCTACTCGAGTCGAAAGACTTCCGGGACCAGTTACTACTAACCATACAGAGGGAAATGACGGGGAGTGTGGTTGGGAATAAGTGGTGGGGCCACCTTAAGACTGTCATTAGGTCGTTTGCAGCTGATTATAGCCGTCGGCTCAACAGAGATAGATTAGCAGCGCAAACGGCAGCCGAAGCTAGATTAGAGGGTGCCATCCAATCGGGAGATAGCGTAGAGGTTTCTGCAGCTAGGGCCGAGCTGGCCTGCTCGCTTATCAAGAAGGACCAAGCTCTGGTAGTAAGGTCTAGGCTAAAGAAAATGTCTGCCGAGGCGACGAATATGGCCGCTGAACTGCGGCATGAGGAGTTGCGCAGCGCTTCAGATCAATATTTCCCCATTGTCACAGCACAGACGGACGACGAGCGACTACAAACGAAGGCATCTGCGAGGCCTTCCGGTCTTATTTCCGGGACCTCTTCTTCAGAGAACCCGGACTGAGCTCAGTTCAGTTCGACACTTATCTGGCCGACTTTCCTCGTCTCGAGGAGGTCGAAGCGGATGTGTGTGAGGGGGCCATCACGGAAGAGGAAGTCTGGGATGCGCTTAAGTTGGCCGGCCGTGACAAGACCCCGGGAATAGATGGACTTCCTTACGAACTGTACTTGAGGCTGTCGCCCGTTTTTGTACCCCTGCTGACACTGATGTTTAACCACTGGCTGAAGAATGGGAATATAACCCAACGCTTCACCAGGGGCGTCATCAAGTTGTTACGCAAGAACAAAAGCGGAGGGGATGGGATAGATAATTTCCGCCCCTTGACTATGCTAAATGCAGATCTCAAGGTTTTGGCGAGGGTCTTGGCCAACCGTCTGCAGCTTGTCCTGCCTAGTCTGATTGGCCCCGAACAGACTTGTGCTGTGAAGGGCAGGACTATTCAGGACAACCTCCATATGATACGCCAGATCATAGAAAAAGTCGACGGAGAAGCCGCGCTGATCAATTTGGATCAGTCCAAGGCATTCGATAGGGTGGACCATCATTTCCTCGAGGCTGTTCTCGCGTCTGCTGACCTTGGACCGCATTTTCGCTCCTGGATCCGGCTTTTGTACAAGTCTCCCGGGGCTCTGGTCGAGGTAAACGGGGTGAGGTCGGAGCCTTTCACTTTGTCTCGCTCCATTCGTCAAGGTTGTCCACTATCGCCTATGCTTTACGTTCTTGCGTTGCAGCCCTTCCTCCGCAAGTTAAAGGCGAATCCGGTCCTTCGCGGAATCTCGGTGCCTGGCGCCACCAACGCTGCCAGGTATTCTGCCTATGCCGATGATGTGTCTGTGTTTGTTAAGAGCGCTGACAAAATTAGCGAGGTCGGCAAAGAGATTTGCAGGTATGAGACGGTGGCGGGGGCCAAGATCAACCGCGATAAGTCTGTCGGCTTGAGGTTGGGCGAGTGGGAGGGTGTTCCTCTCCCCGGTCCCTTCGGCTGGACGGACGGGCCCGTCAAGATACTCGGTATTTGGTTCGGACCCGGACTTCAGCTGGACACCAACTGGTCGGAGGTTCTGAGGAGGGTCGAGGAAGCAGTCCGCCTGTGGACTCGAAGGAATCTTTCCTTGAAGGGGAGGGCGGAAGTGTGCATCTCGCACATCTACCCGATTCTTCTTTACCGTCTCTCTGTACTTCCACTCCCGTCTACCGAACGACAAAAGTTCGTTGATGCCCTTTTCGATTTCCTTTGGAGAGAAAAGGCGCATCTGGTACGTCGCGAGGTCTGCTCCCTCCATCCTGCAGAAGGCGGTCTAGGCATGCCCAGCGTTGAGAATCGTCAACACACGCTGCGTCTGGGTTTCCTGCAAAGAATGTGCACCGAAAGTGGGGATGGTGAGGAGGACGTTTTCTGGAAGGAAGACGCTCGACGAGCCTTCCCGTCTCTGGAAAGTGTGCATGCGGGAGAGGCGGAGGCAGAACGAGAAGATCAAGACGATTGCCCTTTCTATGAGGAATGTCGAGATGCGCTGTGCAAGCTCTTAGAGGTGAAGGATCGCCTCTCCGACACAGGGGCGTTGTCGCAGAAGGCATTATATCGGGTTCTAGTGAGGGTAGAGGCAAAAGACAAACTTCAGGACGAGCTCGGCCTTACGAACGAGGAGTTTCGCTCCGTATGGCCATGGGCGCCTGGGTTGAAATGTCTCAACAACGACGAGGCATCACTCACCTGGCAGGTGTTGCGAGGGGCTCTCTGGGTCGGCAAGAGGCTTTATGCAGCGGGACTGGTGGCAACACCAACGTGCGCGCGCTGCGGTGAGTGGGATGAGTCCATTGCGCACGCCTTCCTCCACTGTAGTGTCGTAATCCCGCTGTGTAGGCTGATTGAAGGCTACATGGTTCGCATCTTGGGCGGGAAGCTCTTCTTCCTTGATGCCAGCACGGTTTGTTCCAACGTGCTGCCGCCAGTGACAAAGGACCAGCAGTATGTAATCTTGTGTTTGCTTGGCATCATGCGAATGGTTGTGTGGACGACGCGACAGAAGGTTTTTCACGGAGGCGAGAAGTTTTCCTTTTCTCAACTGGTCGCTTTCTTTAAGCATCAGCTTAAAGTCAAGATCAGGGCGGAAAAGGTGCGTCTCTCTTCGCTGAAATTCGGCAAATGTTGGGTGAGAGTTTCACAATTGGTGCGTGTGAGAGGAGCTAACCTTGAGTGGTTGTTAGACGCGACTTAGGTCAAAGGACATTGGGCCACGCGCCGAAACGTCAGTCAACCCAGACCCGGTTAACGTAAGATAGGCTTTTGACAGACCTTGTCAGAACTAGCTAGAGTATGCAAGTGTTTAGGTTCCCCCCTTTTTTATTGGTCCCACATGTATTTCATGCTCCATCCCTTCCCTCCTCTCTAGGTGACAGGCATTCTTGTTCTCTGGCGAGATCAGATATGGACAATATCTGATATTTCTGCCCAGTTAACCAGGATTTCTGCCACATTTTTCACCTTTGGGCGGGACCCGATACTAACAACTATTTATTTTTCAGGTTTCATTTATTGTATATATCCACTGTATCCCCCGCCCAGCTCTTGTGTAAATAAAATTTTCATGCTAGGATTCTAGTGGAATAAATGAGGTATTTTGGTAATTGTGGTGCGAGAGGTTAGTGCAAATGTGGTATTATGGTGGAAGGTTTATTGTCAGTACGAATGGGTCAATGAGAGCGTCTAGCTAGTTACGAATTAAGACTAGAGATGACCAAACTCTTTTACCCCCCCACCCCCAAATTCGCCCTTGTGGCACATTTTGTAATTTTTACAAATAAATATTAACATGCCTCCTAAAGCGAGCTCCAAGGGTGCTAAGAAAGCCGTAAAGGCTAAGCCAGTCCGTGCCGACGGCAAGAAAACGAAACGTAAGAAGAGAAAGGAAAGCTACTCGATATAGATCTACAAAGTGATTAAACAGGTTCATCCCGATACCAGCATTTCCAGTAAAGCAATGTCCATCATGAACAGTTTTGTCAACGATCTGTTCGAGAGAATCGCTGCTGAATCTAGTCGACTGGCCCATTACAATAAACGTTCAACCATCACCAGCCGTGAAGTTCAGACCGCTGTCCGTCTTCTTTTGCCCGGAGAATTGGCTAAACACGCCGTTTCTGAAGGCACCAAGGCTGTTACCAAATACACCAGCACCAAGTAAATCTGATATGGTTTTCATCATACAAACGTCCCTTTTCAGGGCCACTCATATCTTCACGAGAATCACTTGACGTTTACATATTATGCAATTTTGTTTTCTTTCTTTTCTAAATATATTTTCTAAATATATTTTCATGATATTGTTATGCTTCATATAAAAGTAGAAACGATTTAAGTGCACTAACTTCTACCGGTTGAGAAACGCTGGTTTAACTTATAGTTACGTATAATAAACCTCTTAGATCCTTTCGAAAATTTTAAAAACCAATTTTAATTAATAAACAGTGAATTAAACACTAAAATTATTATACTGACTGCTATATGATTGGCATATTGTGAGCAAATTAAAATCTAGTAAAAATCCTCACAACAATTTTAAGTGGGTGAGGAAAGAATCTTTTCGAGAGGTTAAGATTACTTGACGTGCACACGAAATGAAAACATGAATAAGTTCATACACATTTGATGTCTTTCGTCTGTGCCATCACAGGCTATCGAGTGTAAATCGACGTTATTATGGTTTAAAGTTTAAACAAAATGAAAAGGTAAGCATTACTTTTATAAAATCCAGTTGATTCATATATTTACTGACCGACTTTCAAAATACATCCCCATGAATATTGGATTTTTAAGAGAATTTAAATTTTTTTTGTTTACACTTTTTTTTATTTTATTTATAATTGCGGTTCAGTGACTAAATGTGCCATTAAAATAAGCCTAAAACATATACTGAAATCATTTTTCTTTTAATACGGATTATCTTTAGTAATCTTGTTCAAATAAAAGCAAACATTTAGGCACCCCACCAAAGAAAGCGCTACTTGGAGCTTTTATTTTTTTTTTATTACCAACTCGCAGATTAAATTTAATATGTACAATAAACAAAATACTCTTTACAAAATTTCAGTGAACTTATTTAACTACTCTGTATATTTTACAAATTAACAAATTTTAAGCAATCTAATATTGAAGATGCTTTCTGGAAAAATAATAAAATTTGAAATGCTACATGATAAATTGAAAATTTCATAAGTTAATATACAAATTATTAATATAACAAATTCATAAATTTTTGCGTACATCTATTATAAAGTTTCATAGTATTTTTTTTTTTATTTATATTATTATGTCATTTATGAAAGTTTTACTTTTAAACAACCCGTAAATTTTTAATGTCACGTATGAACATCCGAATTTATACACATAGAAACAATTTCTTTTTAAATACTGCTAGATGCAGATTGCAATACGCTTTTACATTTATGGTTAGTAAAAAAAAAAAATTGTTTAATGACATGATTTCCTAAAAGTTACAACATTGTTGAAACTGAATTTTAAGAATTAACGGTATGAACTATTATTAAAATTGTAAAAATTCATTTTTTTTTTGCTTCAGACAATATTGTCCTTAACATAATATTGATAAAAGCAATTAAAAGCTTTTCTAATTAAATAATGTCTTAGTTTTATTGTGAATTGTATTTTACAATTCACAGCTGATTTTCGGTAACACGTTTGATTTAAATTCTTCAAAGACTCCTGTTTTTAATTAATATAAATAAAAATTACAACTTTGAATTTCTCTTAATTTCATAAAATTAAGCAAGGTGGGTGGTAACAGATATATAAAAAAAAAATTACCAATACTTTAATTTGTGAATAAATTATGAATGTTTCATTAAAATTCGAGAACCTAATCTCTACAAAGACGGAATTGTAACAGGTCTAAGATAAAAATTCTATCAATTATTGTAAAAATTAATTATTCATTGAATTATTTTCTCAAAATAATTGTGTACTTGATATCTTATTCATAAAAGCAATTAAAAGATTTTCTAATTAAATAATACCTTAGTTTTAGGGCATTTTTTATTTTACGATTCAGAGCAGATTTTCGGTAACGGGAGGATCCTGTAGATTTAATTCTCCAAGGAGTTCTACTAAACATTAAACGCTACAATATTTAATTTCTCGAAATGTCATAAAATTAAACAAATTTTTACAGATGGAAAAAAATAACAGATTTTATGAAAAATTTTTTTTAAATAACTTCATTTGTGAATAATTCCTGAAGATTACATTAATCCAGCAATTATTTGATTTTTGCAAGAATTTCCAAATCACCGCAAAAAAGACGCTGAGGTATCCTAAAAATGCCTGATCTTTATTGTCGACTATTGACTATGCTTAAAAATTTCAGAAATTTTGATTTAGTCTGAGAAAGGTTCGAAGAGCCATTAGTCATAAAACATTTTTTTTTCATGTTAGCTATGATATAAAAGTAGGTACCAAAAATAAAGGAGAGGGTGGCTTGATAAAGCAAGAAAAAATTTAATGATCGGAGAAATAAACAGATTCATTAGTTGAGAAAAGAAAAATATTTCTTTAGCAAAATTGCTTCAAAAATTAAAAATGAAATATTCCAAAGTATAAAACAAATTAATGAGCCAGCTTTTAGATCTACAGTTTTAAAATTATATTGTAGCCGCAGTTATGTCTTGAGAGCTTTGAAACGGTGGAAAAATACGAGATGATGTGATAAGTTATACCAAAATTATAAAAATACATATTGCTTCAAGGAAAGCGTTAGCTAAGTTTAAAATCTTATTTGCAGCTTTAATTTTCAAACTCTTAGATTAAATTTAATATTTTCAAGAATAATATTTTTTTTATTGGAATGATCTTTTCCTACTTATAAGTAAAATAGAGTTCATGATATATTTTATTCATAAGAGCAATTAGACATTTCCAATTTAAATAGTCTTTTTTTTCTTCTGTGCTTGATTGTAATTGTAATTCAGGGCAGATTTTTTTTTTTTTTTTTTTTTTAGACTGATTGTCCTGTTTAATCAAAAGAATTTCATGTATTCTCCGAGGATTCCATAAAATTAAACGTGTGTGTCACAGGTTTATAAAGAGTTTCTAAAAAAATGTTGTAGAAATAATTTAATTTCCTTCTGAATAAGTTTCATTAAAATTCAAAAATTATGATTTTAGAAAGAATTTCTAAATCAATATTTTTCAACACACACACAAAAAAAAGCTCAAATTTCCGAGCAAAAACAATTTTGTAACCAACAATTCTAGGGTTCTAAAAAGGTTTTGTATATAAAAAAAATTGCTCTTTTCTCTTAAAAGATTTTGACAATAGTATTTTATTTATACCGATTTGGACGAGTTTTCATAAAATTACATTGTACGTATGAATTATCAAAATCATTGCTTACAATTTCTTATTTGTTTTATACTTCCTGAATATGAAAATAAACATACTACGTAGCACAAGATGCAACAGATGACTTGCTTATGTATTCGTTATTGTGTCATTGGTTGTAATGACAAACTGAGAGAAAAATTAAAAATGCAGAAATTAAATAAATTCTTTGATGAATACAACGTGAATGTTTTTTTAACTACCCAGTAAGTTGTAAATTTAGGAAAATATTTTAAATCTAATAATTTAATGAATGCTATATATTTTGGATTTATTGCCTTAAGACACTTGTTCATAAAATGTTAAAAAAAGTAACAATAAATATAAAATTAATTTGATGGGTACCTCTTATTTTCTGATAATGTCATTTATGTGCGCCCGTATCCACAAAAATCGACACATTTATACACATTCTCTGAAAGTTTTATTTATTTCTAACATTTATATTTATTCTATGGAAAAAAAATAATTTTTTTAATTTAGCTTTCTGAATTATGATCAGTTATAACAAATCTGAAATACATTTTTTACTGACTTAATAATTCCTTCTAACTTTATCTTCCTCGTTCTCACTCATAAAACAGGATTTTGCACAGGCAACGAAAGTAAATTAATAAATAACTTATCCTGCCACGACCAACTTTTTTTTATCAGTAAACAAGATATTTATTTTCTTTGCTTGAAATACAAATAACTCTTTTCAATTATTAAGAACAGAAAATAACAAAACCTGGACGATTTAAGCAACACCGCCGAAATAGTGATGTTAATTTAAGGCGATAAAATTAATTTCCCTTAGATTCCCCTGTTCACTGTAAAGTTTTACGTTCGGTTCGATATTTTTAATGATTAAAGGGAAGCTACTCCCGCCGTTTTGATGTAATGGATAACGGCTCGGAATGAAATATCGGAGATCTGAGTTTGAATCCTAATGCCTAAAAATAATTTACCATTCTTTCTCAAAATGTCACTTGCATTCATTTCTTCAATAAGAAAAGTTTAATTTCATTTACATCTTTCTCTTGCACACACCACTTAAAGAAAAATATTCACGAGAAGGAAACTCTTTGAATACATAATCAACTTTTGTATTTTAATTTTAATTAATTTACAATTACAACCATATTTTTTTTACATGTAACTAGTACCGCCCAAATGGTTACTTTTTCCGAAATGAAAGTAAAAAAATTGTTATCCACGTTTTAAAATATTTGCAAAATAAAAGGGAATTATCCAATTTAAACTAAATTTTCAGTACTTGTTCATTAATTAATGAATTGTATACCGAATACATTATTTGAATAGAAAACAGTGAAAATATTTTAGGAATCTGTTTCACCCACACCTTTTTCGATATCTTGTGTGTAATTTTTAATTTGTGGGATGTTCGTCAAATTTTTACAGTTATTTAAAGAAATACCCGTGAATATGTTATTTCAGAAAAAAATAAAAAAAATAAAAAAATCTTGCAATGTCAAGTTTGAACATACGGAAAATTCGTCTCAGATCTTTAAAAAAAATTCAATAAAACTTTAAAAATAAATTTTTCCGACTGTAAGCGATAGCGTAATTTAATAAATCACATTACGTTTTTCAGATTTAAACATTAGAAAACTACTACACTTAATATTTATTAAAAAAAAAACTGACCTGTA